CGAGAGAAGTCCCTTGCCTCTGCCTCTTGTTAGCTTGTGTCACCCTGGGAAAGTTGCCTCAATGGTTTATCTGCTAAATGAATGAGCAGAGTCTGCTTTCCTCTAAGAGTCACTGGGCGAACAAATGAGTCTCCATACATAAGAGGCTCAAAACAGTGCCCGACACACAGTAGCACCAGCCAGGTGAAGCCAGTGTTCTTTTCTGAAGGAGATGAAGGGACACAGTTCACAGAGGCCCCCCAGGCAGAGGTGAGAGGTTAGATCTGAGCTCCAGTCTCACAGGGTCTATCTAGGCTGTTCTCACATTTCCAAAAAGCAAATGGTCACCCATCGGCTGTAACAGCTAGCACAACGTGACAAGTAGCACCAGGCCCAGCCCTAAGACATCACAATGCGACTCATGTGACATTCCCAACTGCTCCCTGAGGTGCGTTGGATTACTAGCTCCATTTTACAAATGGAGAACCCGGGGCCTGGAGAGGTGAAGCGACCTGAGGTCACACAGCTGTTAGGTGACAGAGCTGAGATTTGACCCTGAGTCTGGCCCAGTGGCTGGCGCTGTTACCCAGTGTTGAGCCATTCTGGCACACAGCCAACCTAGCTGGGCATTGAGTTGGACCAAACCACCCAGCCTGCAGCGCGCAGCTGGGCTCTACTGTGGGCCTGCTGCAGGGTCAGCCGCCCCATCTTGGAGCAGGGGAACTGGGAGATTTTGTGCTCAGCTAGGAGGTTCTCCAGCCTCAGCTCAGGCTCAGTGGAGCCCCACTTTCCTCATCTGTGAAATGGAGACAACCTCTCAGCTGCGGGGATGCAGTGGAACAAAGGACAAGAAGCATCAGGCCCCATGTCAGACACAGACACATCAGCTCAGTGACTGATGGCCATCAATCCTACATTTATAGTCAGACTGATCCCAGAATTAATCATCAGAACTAGGGTGTGGGGCCAGGAATATTCTATTAAGCCACCTTGAGCCACACACAGACGTCACTTCCCCATGTTCTGCAGCAGCCTTGGCAAGGAGTCCTCCAACCTCAGCTTGATTGCTTCCTGGAATGAGGTGCTCACCACCTGTCAACCCAGGCTGGTCCAGCACTCTCTGTTGGAAATCTCTCCCTTGCACTGAGTTGGTGACCTGTGACTCTCATTCTCGGCCTTGTTGGGAGGACCATCTTGCATCATGATGACTGAGTTCACGGTGAAGCTATGCTTGGAGTTCCCCAGAGCCTGGGGGAGGGGCGGTTCTGCTATGAGCCTGGGGGAGGGACGGTTCTGGTATCTCTATTACCTGAGTGTCCACGGGCTACACGCCATTTCTGAGCCAATGAGGGAGGGATGAGTCTTACCCTAGCCTCCTCCCAAACAACCAGGGCACTGACTAATGGGGTCTTCTCATACTCAGGGTGACCACACAGGAAGGCGCTCTGAGGACCACGCTCGTCCTGTGGGTGCAGCACCCAGCCATTTCCTGCAGGTGACAGGGAAGGTGTGTGACACGCTAGGATTCACTGAGACATGGCCAGTGGCCAGAATCCAACCGAGCTCTCAGGGCTCCTGGAGCAAGACCACCCCTGAGGCTGACCATGGAAAGTCATTCTTGAGGCTGGTAATGGGGTGATTAGTGGCCAAATGGCTCATGACTTAATTGGTTCCCAGGCGCTCAGCTGAAGTGAGCTCTGATCAGAAGAGGAGATGTTTGCAGAGGAGGACAGAGAGCCTGTAAGCCACGTGCTGCCCAGAGATGCTTGCAGAGGTGGACGTGTCTGGGCTGCAGCAGGTGGATGGCAGGAAGGGGAGCCTCTGGGCCCACCAGGTGCGCAGGATGCAGGGTGATGCTCATGTGGTATGGGGGGGCTGTCATTTGTATCCCTTGACCTCCAAGTGGCACCTGCTTGGCCAAGCCCAAGGCATCTCCTTAGCTCACAATAAGGCAGGCAGGGGAGCCCTTTGGGATGGTCACTCTACTCCATTGGGGGCCCTCAGTTTGGAGAAGCAGTTCCAAGGTGCCTGGGCAGGACAGTGGGAACAGATGGGACACTGCTGGGGGGCCCAGCGGAGGGAGGGTGGGAGCAAGAAGGCCCCTGACTGCTTTCTTGCACGTCCCCACAGTCCTCTTTTCTGCTCTGTCTGCACTCGTGGAAACTGGCTTCTTGCCGTCACCCGCGGGAGCTCCTGGGGCCATGAAAGCCCCCTGCCCCCCCACTCAGAGTCGGGCTAGCCTCCTTCCACCACCTCCTCGGCTGCTCTGTGCATCAGTCGCCATCTCTGACACGAGTTTATGATGAGAAAAACTCTACACAGCAGAGGCGCGCTGGCTCCTTAGCCCTCTCAGTGAACATGAAGGCCTTTGTGGCCCGCGCTGGCCTCCGGGGTCCCGCCTACTCCCTGCGCCCGCAGGCTCCTTCAACAGGCCTGCAGCCTCGCCACGGGGCCTTTGCGCCTGTTGTGTCCTCCTGCAGCCTGGGTGAAGGCAGTGGACACAGCGGTTTTCACCTCCGATGGTTTCCCTGGAGCCCAGAACAAACACTTAACTAAACACCGGTCAGTACACGCCCTACACATCAGGCACATCTACCGGGTCTCACACCCCTGCAGTGTGGCAGGCAGCCCCGCCAGGGGTTTGTGGTCACAAGGGCAAGACTGTTTATTGAGAGTCAGCCACGTACATACTGAGTGTTGGCTGAGTTTTGTGCTGGCTGTAAAAGATCCTTATCCCACCCCCATTTTACAGGCGAGGAAGCTGAGGGTTGAATGATGGGATGGGGAAGTGGTAGGGCTGCACTGGAGTCCCCTGGGGGTGTGAAAGGGCACACACGGACCAACTAGATGGGTGTCCTTGAATGACCTTCCAGGGGCTTGGGCGCTGAGCATCGTATGTTCACGCCTGCTTGTGCGTCACCTGGGGACCACAGTAGGTGTTGGCTTGGCCACCACCCAGGCCAATGGATCCTGGATGAGGGATCAGAGCTGGCCGGTGGTGTGTGGAGGCTGCTGCTATGAAAACTGGGTCCCCTTAGCCATGCAGGCAGAGGTGTGCTGTGCCCAGGGCACAAGGCCTCGGTGGAGAAGATGCTCAAAAGGGGCTTCTGATGAGGAACCCAAGCCCCTCTTCAGATCCGAGGTGGCGGTGGGGTGGGAGGGAGGTGGTCAGCGCATGCACGTCTTCTAAGAGGAGGTGCTGCAGCTCAGACCCTCACCAGGACCCATCCTCCCTGGTTTCCAACAAGTGTAGAAATGTGATTGGGCAGTGATCAGACACCAGAGGACCCGGTCCGTGGTCCACACAGGAACAGGAGCCCAGAGGGTGGGCCAGGCTCTCCCCTCCTGCCCTGACCCCTGATGCAGTCCTCGGCTCCTCTGCATACCTGCCTCCAGATCTCACAGGTTGGGCCAAACCCCATGCCCCTGGCTCCAGGAAGCCTTGGCCAAAATGGGATAAAACCCCAACCACCCCCCAGCACCTGGTGCTTCCCTGGGCTTGGTGAGCCCCTTCAACACTGATGGAGTCTGAACGTAACCGCGAGGGCGGCAGGGGAGGCTGCGGGGCCACGAACGGCAGGCTCAGGCCGGGAGAGGGTTCTGGAAGCGCGCGGGCCTGGAAGCCCGCCGCCTGGGCATCAATCCTGCTCTGCTGCCCGCGGAGGCTGGCTCTTCTCTCCTGTCACCACCAAGCTCTCCCCTGGCTTGCAGCCTCGTCTGAGCTGGGAATCCAAGGCCCCAACTCAGAGGATTCTGAGGTTTTGAGGAGTCCTCTTTAGATCGAGGGCGGGTCTCCCACTCCCCTTAGTAATGGAGGCTTGTACTGAATTCTCTGTTTGATGGGATCCTCATGGATCTAAATCACACTGACAGGTAAGAGCCGCACAACTGGCTGGCTAGTGGCACCCTCCGCCCCCCGCCCTTGCCCCCGGCCATCACCCCACCCCCCCCCCCGCCCCCCGTGGCCCACTGCAGCCCATGGAGCACCAGGACACACGGGGCATGCGGGGCCTGGGGCTGCCCTTCAGCAGGCAATGGCGCAGCCCTCTGTGCGTCTACAGTCTGTCTGTCCCACATCTCAGCGCCCCTGCCCCTTATATCTCCAGAACCCAGCTCAAGAGGCTCACGCCTCTTCCAGGCAGCCCCTCCTGACCGCCCTGTCACAGAGGTCCTGACCCTTCCCTCTTCTGCTGTCTCTGTGCAGCTCCATCTCCTGCTAGCTGGGACCCCTGAGCACAAAGACGGGGGCTCTGGTGCCCGGGAGATGGCTCAGCACATGGGTGCCCAAGCCCCGAGTCTCCTGCTGGCAAAGGCTCTACACAGGGCTGCGGAGGAGGAGGTAGGCCTGTCCGCTAATCCAGAAACGTCTGTGGAGATGCATGCAGCCACCACTCACCCACCTCCCACATTGCCTCAAGCCTGAGACGGGTACCAGGCAGGACCTGCATTCTGGATGAACTATGGGGAGGCGCCATCTGCCCTGGACTCCAGGTGGCAATGCAGTCCAGGGGTTAAGGGCATAGGCCACGGTGGCTCAGGAGGTGGGTAATCCCAGACAATTCACATCCACTCTGGGTCTTGACTTCCTTATCTGTGAAATGGGCACGTGGCACCCATAGGGGTGCTGAGGGGTGCTGAGAGACGTGCCCCAGGGCCTGGCCAGGCTCAGCTTCCCCAGCATCATCGGGAGAATGGTGGGAGGAAGGCAGACCCCTTGGTCCTCCTCCTCCGAAAGCAGCTGCCCTTCCTGAGCCAACAGAGCCCAGCCCCAGGAAAGAGCTCCATTTCCGGGAGAAATCACCCTCCAAGACTCCGAGGGGCTCCTGGCCCGGTTGGATGCATCTACAGTCGTGTGCATCTGCAACCTGGCACAGCCCCAGGTGCCCAGCAGATGGAATGAGAGCCGACCATCCCTCCCATGTGCTTTCCTGGCACATGCCCCTGCGGGTAACCTCAAGGAGAGGGAGGAAGGGTCGGGACCCATCCGAGGTCGCCCCTGCCCCAAAGCGGCACTTGCTTACCCCAGAGGGCCATGAAGATGGAGAAGAAGACGGTGGCAGGGTTGTCAAAGAGGTGGCTGGCGCGGGCAGTGGCGCATGCAGAGCTCATCTTCCAGTAGCTGCAGGTCTTGTCGCAGAGTGGGCACATGGTGATGTTGTGTCTCTGGTCGCACATTTCCATGCTGGAAAAGAGAACAGCCTGGAGTCCCCCGGCCGATGGTCAGGGCCCCCACTGGCCCCCGCGGACCAGGACCTTCTGGAGCCATGCTGTCCTTGCTGGGGTGGACATGGTTCGGCTTGCCAGCGGGCTTCCACCAGAGACCACATCCCTCTTCTCCATCCAAGGCCCCAGCTTGGCATCCCACTCTCTGCCCCCCTTACCTTATAGCCTTAGTGACTTTTGAACAGGGTCCCACACTTTAATTTTTCACCCAGCCTGCAACTTCTGTCGGTGGCCCTGGGTGTGGATCCATGTGACTTGCTGTGTGTTGGGACAGGGTCGCGTAAGTGTTCATCTCTGGGGTGGCCCCGGGCAGTGGGACTCACGGCCTGCCCTGGAGCTGCCCCTAGAAGTTGAGGTCCCCAGCAGCCTCCCTCTGAGGACCAGGCACCGTCAAAGCTGAGCTAATAGTGAATGCCATCCAAGTCCTGATGTAACAAGGCCCGGAAGACCCGGAAGAAGAAAGGAGTCAAGACATGAGGATGCTATGCCCCTCCTGAGCCCTGGCCTTGCACCCAGCACCTGCTCAGTCCCATTCCTGCGGGCTTCAGTCCACCCCTGTGGGGATGCCCTGGGTACCAGCCTGCGGGCCTTGCTGGGCACTCTGGACCCATAAGAAGATGGAGAATTGGTCCACCCAGACCTCCTTTCAGGAGGCAGGTCGCTGAGTCGGAAGGAACACACCCACAAGCTGCCTGGGGTTGTGGTCCCACCAGGCCGGGCTCACCCTGGAAATGAGGGGTGGCCCCTGAGTAGGAAAGGGCCGTGCTCAGGCAGGCTTTCACTCTGCTGAGCAAACGTGAAGTCTGGGGACTGCGGGGAGCTCTGCAATGCCCAGGGCCCTCCTCCTTCGCCCTGCCAGTTCTCAAACTCTCTCTTACTAATATGAAAAATGTAGTATTTAAAGGCTCACCAGCCATTGCAGGAGACTGCACCGAGTGTCTACCCAGTCTGGACCAACTCTGGGGCTGTTGCAATCCCACCTTCACAGAGGAGGAAGCGAGCCCAGAGAGGGGATGTCACGTGTCCAGGGCCACACAGCAGAGTGGGGCTTGTGCCCGGGGCTCTGTCCCTGTCAAGCCCATCTGTCCCTGCCCGGCTCTCAGCTGCCGCCCAGAGGCCACAGGGAGGGCTCCCTGCTGAGGCCAGGAGGCTTGGCTCGGCTCCTTGAGGGGCAGTTTCTGTCCTCTGTGCGCCCGGGGCTGGTCCTTGAGCCTCAGACTCAGCTCCTGCTTCTGGAAGATGAGGAGAGAGGCTGCAAAGGGCCTTGCCAGCTGCGCCCTGCCCTGCCCCTCTCCTCCCTGCTCACTTGGACCAGACGCTGAGTAATAATTAGGCACAGGCAGGACTGGATTCCCAGGGGTTAGATGGCTTTCTGGGTGAAGTGGGGGGATGAATGGGGTGACTGCTTTTTGGCTTTTAAGAAAAATTTCTGGATGCACATGAGCTTATGCACAGGATCCTGGCTGGACCACAGCCACTGGGGAGCATTTGCCAAGAGGTTGTGGGGGGCTTCCTCTGGCAGCACTGCAGGCATCTTGCTCAATTCTCTTCTCACAGTGGCTCTCCCCAAACAGTTATTAAAAAATTGTGTACCTGCTCTGTGTGGCAGGCACGGTGCCAGGTACGGTAGATGGAAAGACAGACGGTGGGCAAGGCTATTGCCTCAGAGCATGTGGGGAAGTGTATGTGTGTGTGTGTGTGAGCATGTGTGTGTGCCTGTGTACAATGTATGTTGGGGGGGTCAGGCACACACAGTTTGGAGGGCAACAAGCACTTGGGAGCCAGCCAGATCTGCGCGTGAATTCCAGCTCTACTGATCGTGATCCGTGTGGCCTTGGGCAGGTCGTTTGAACTCCTTGGGCCTCAGTTTCCGTATCCATAGAATGGGCATGCTGAGACTACAGAGCTCATTTTTTTTTTTTAAGAGTCACGGCAGTTTATTTAAATTGGGGTTTTTTTGGCCATGCCGTGTGGCTTGCAGGATCTTAATTCCCCGGCCAGGGATTGAACCCCGGTCCATGGCAGTGAACGCACGCACTCAGCCCTAACCATTGGACCACCATGGAATCCCCCAAGAGCCCATGTTATTGGGTTGTCAGGAGGCTTAACCAAGGGAATGTACAGGAAGCCCTGGGAACGGCACTGGGGTATTTAAACCATCCTCCTGTTCACCATCGCTGCCGTGGGACGAACGGAGCGACGGCAGCTGCAGTGACCAGGAGGAGGTACAGGTACCGACTCGAGGGGCCCATCTCTGGTCCTCCCCGAGCGCCCTCTCTTCTGGGGCTTCTCCTGAAAGGCAGAGGGGCAGGACACCCACCCGTGCCTGACCCCGGCCCCTCTCAGGGGACCAGTGGATGGACACGCCACTGTCAGCGTGTGGCCTGGTGCCACTGGGTGGGGGGGCCTGGAGCCTGAGGGTGGGAGGGGGCTGGGGAGGCCAGGGCCTGAGTCTCTGCCTACCCGTGAGCCCCATGGCTGCCCAGCTCTCTGCCCTGCCAGCTTAAACAACACCAGCCAGACAAAAAGCCTGTTTCTGCTGGTTTTAAACCCTCAGCCTCTCCCTTCACTGCCTTCAGCCAAAATAAAGACGAGCAACAGGCGCCTGCTCTTTGGAGCAAATAGAGGGACGGGCGGTGGGGCAGCATGGTGCGGGGCGCGGGGGCACCAGCCATCCTGCAGACTTGGCTGGGCCAGGCTCCAAGGGGAACACACACCTCACGCTTGGTCCAAGGCGCCAAGCGAGCGGAGGCCGAGGTCAGACGGGGCTCCAGAGTCCCCAGTGAACGCTGTCTGTAACCCTGGCCACGTGACAGAGCTGGCCTGGCCTGGCCCGGGGCTGTCAGCACCCTTGCGGGAGCGCCTGAGCCTCCTGAGGCAGAGTGTCCAGGCGGAGACCACCAGCCCTGCCCTCCCTCCACGACCGGGAGGGAGACGGATGGAGCAGTCCCCGATGGGGGCACCCTGCCTTCCACTCGCAGAGTCTCTCACACTTTGGAGTGAAGGCCCCTCCTTGTCTGGGCTACTCTGATCTCTGCCTTCATTAAACCCGAGTGCAGTGAGCTTGTGTCATCAGCAAACAAAGGGACAAGCTTTCTCCTGCCTGCGCCCAAAATAACCCTGGAGGGGACAGAAGCCAAACTCCTTTAACTTTCTGATTCCGGGTGGGTGGAGTACTTTATTGTCATTTACGTAGATGGTTGCGTGGCATCACCGACTAAATGGACAGGAGTTTGAGCAAACTCTAGGAGATAGTGGTGGACAGGGAAGCCTGGCAGGTTGCAGTCTATGGGGTCGCAAAGAATCGGACACGACTTAGTGACTGAACAACAACAACATGTATTCAAGCATCCATTGCATAAAACTTCACTGTACATGGGCTTTCTACACCACTGAGTGGGTCCTAAGGAGCCAGTTTCTTCCTCAGGTCAAAGACTCCTTCATCGGCCCTTTTAAACCAGAGCTCTGCTTCAGAGATGCTGGGCTGAGTTGTAAGAAGGGTAACCTGCCCTATGTCCCAAGACTGTCCCGACAGACCGCCCCGGCTCCAGGGAGGCGGGCAGGGCGTCTGCCTCTCTAAACCAGCACTTTGCCTGCAGGCACAGTGTTCCTGATGGAAGTTGGGGCTGGCATCCTGAGCTCACATCATAAACTGCTATCCCTGGGTCGAGATTGGCAAATTCCGGGAACAGCGACCAAAGAGGGGGGATGCTGTCCTCAGACTCCCACTGCCTGAGTCACGCTCTGGCTGCCAGTCTGGGAGAAATGCTCCCGGCATGAGGCCAGGCCGTCTCTGGGGTCTCGGCCTCCTTCCCAGAGCTCCCCACGCCTGGCCTGCTCCCTGGGGAACAGCAGAAGGGCTGTCAGCCCTGCGCTCACGGGCCGGGGTCTGCTGCACCGGGGCCAGCCCCTGCAGACCAAGCTGCTGCTGCACGATTTCCCCACACTGTGGGGAGCAGGGGTGCGGTGCAGACAGGGCCTGGCCGGCTGAGTGTGCTGCCCTGAGGTCTCTGAATGGTCCTGCCTCACTTCCTGACCTCACAGGGAAGCAGTGAATTTTCTTGTCATATAATGACTAAGGACTGAATGGGAAAAAAAGCTTCAAAGGACAAAAAGGAGTCGGATATTTATTTTATGTCTTCCTCTCAACAATAAAACGTCTCCTAGGGTGAGCGTGCCTGCAAAGGCCGCCCACGGTCTCAGATGGCTATTAAAGCCTTTGGCCGGGGTGACTCTGGTCCTGACAGTGCCCTGCCTGGCCTGTGACTTCCCGGTTTGTAGAGGGGTGGTGGTTGCTGAGCGGGGCATGGGGTGTTGGGGTGAGGGGCCCCAGTCCCAGGGAGCTCTGCTCCTGCAGTAAGGGGAACGTGGCTCCTTAGTGAGATGAGGACGTCTTTGGGGAGAGGGGCTGCCCGCCTACCTGGGGATGTTGTCATCGACAGTGGCCCATCCATAGAGGAAAACGATGATACCGACCACGGAGGCTGGGATGAGCATCTGGGTGTAGACGCCCAGCCAGGCGAAGTACAGGCCAATCTTCTCCCCAAAGTACTTTCTGCACCGCGGGGCAAAGCCAGATAGAGACATGTTTACTCTCAACCCATACCAGGGGCAAAATTTACACCACGCCCCCTCCCCAGCATGAACAGCTCATACGGGGGTCCCTGGTTCTCAACCAAGCAGAGTGGGGTGGGGGTGGTTCTGAGCCAGGCTGTCATGTTTGTGGGGGGCTCTCTGGTTTCATGGTGTCCACCCCTCCTCTGCTGAGCCCTGAGGACGGGAGGATTTCCACCTGTAATGCCCATGCTGCAGGGCGAGAAGCTGCCCGGAGGCAGTCAGCTCTGTTCCAGCCTCTTGCAGCCTTAAAACAGTTAAAAACTCCGGCCCTGAGGCACCAATAACTCCATATATTGAGCATCTCTGTCTTCTTTACGGGCTGGGCTCTGATCTATGTGTCCCCACAGGAAAAACGTTGCCTGGTCTGTCTGCCCTGGGAGGGAGGTCTCTCAGGAGAGGACACGGTGTCCGGAGGGGCAATTCTTACAGATTCCCAGGCAGCGTTTTTCTTCCTTTTGACACAGAATGAAACCCCACCAGATGCCCGACTGGGTTGAGCCAGACTGAATTTAGGGGGAGACTGAACATGACAGATGAGAGCCAGTCCTGCAATGAATCTGAATAAACTGCTTGATCTAAGGCTCGGCCAGGCTGCCAGTCCTGCTGGGAGACCTCAGCTCCCCTGCACAAGCTCTTCGAGCTCGAGCAGGGGCCCATGCTCTGCACACTCAGTGCAGTCAAGAGGCACAGGGATGTCTATCCACCCAGGCCTGCTCTCAGCGTCCCCACTTACCTGACCAGGTCGATGGGCTGGTACTTGTAGAAGACCCCGTAACTCGCCCACTCTTCATACAGGAGCTGGGAAAAAGGAAGTGGTGAGGGCTGGGGAAAAGTAAAGTGCTCCCAGGTTCCTCGCCAGAACACAGAGCTGCCAAGGCACTCAGCTCATGGCTACATCATTCAGTCAACAAACTCATGGAGAAAGTCAGCCCTGGGCCAGGGACCATGCTGGACACTGGGATGTGAGATGAACACCGCAGACACCCCCCTGAGCCCTGCAGCGCCCATTCTGGTGGGGGAGACGGGCATGGAGAAACGGGTCCAAGGTGTCAGCTCTGGTACGGGCCTCAAAGAACCTGCAGGCAGTGGTGGGGTCCTCGAGCAAATACAGACCTATGGTTTTAGGTGGCGGTGAGGATGGGAAAGAAGCTTCTGGCATCATTATGGAATCCTCCCTCTTCACTATTTGATCTGGGATTTAAAATGGCCTGCCACTGTTAGACACCTCACTTTCTTTGTTAAAGACAGACCCACCAGGCTTTGGAGCAGAGAAATCCCAGTGGTATGATTTTAACAGATCTCACGAGGTGCAAAAAAGCCGACGTGGATCTCCTGAGACAGGCTGTCTGATTAACATGGCCGAGTGAGATGAATGAGATCCACAAAACCCACTACGCCCCAGGCTTGGGCAGGATGGTAATGAGCTTGGCCTTGTGGGAATGTGTATATTCATATGTCTGTATGAACATGTAGGGCATCTTATAGAAGATGCTGGGTTAGGACTGCTGGTTTTAATAAAGAGATCCCATGCGTGTGGGTAATTAATGCTCTACCGACCTTAACCCAAAGCCCACGGTGACACTGCTGGCTGGAGGGAAGCTGGCCCCAGCTGGGAACCCAGTGCCTTGGCTGCCCGTCTCTGCTGGCATCAGACGGGGAATGGACAGGAGGCCAGCGTGGGGATGCCTGTGAGGACTCACCAAGGTCCCTGGGTCTCTCCTGTACACTGAAGCTTGACTTTTGTCCTTTTCCCTTTTCTTAATATTTAAATTTAAAACTTGTGAGAGTCTCTTACATTCAGATTCTGCTGTGGCCCCAAATACACCAAATACAGCTTTCTATTTTGTTTTTTAAAAACACAGCCTTTTATATCATCGCCCCCAATACCCTATGCTATGGAATGAATGTTTGTATCTCCCCAAACACAAATGTGTTGAAGCCTTCGCCACCCAATGTGACTGTATTAGGAGGCTACATATTTATGGAAGTAATTAAGGTTAAACGAGGTCATGAGAGTAGGGTTTTGCTCTGACAGGACTTGTTCAGTCGCTAAATCACGTCTGACTCTGCAGCCCTATGGGACTGGGGCCCGCCAGGCGTCCCTGTCCTTCACCACCTCCCAGAGCCTGCTCACATTCACGTCCACTGAGTCGGTGATGCCATCCAACCATCTCACCCTCTGTTTCCCCCTCCTGTTGCCTTGACCGCTCCCAGCATCAGGGCTCCACTGTGACCTGTCTGTCTTGGGCGGCCCTGCACAGTGCAGCTCACAGCTTCACTGAGCAACGCAAGCCCCTTCACCACCGCAGGCTGCAGTCCATGAAGGGGATTGGAAAAGACCCTGGCAGGACTTGGGTCCTTGTAAGAGGAAGAGACACCAGAGCTGGCTTTCTTCTCATGCACACATGGAGGAAAGGCTACACGGTGGGAAGGCGGCGGTCTGTAAGTCAGGGAGAGAGCCCTCACTAGAATCCAACCCTGCCGGCACCTGGATCTGGGACTTCCAGCCTCCAGGACCATGAGGAAAAAATGTTTTCTGTTCAAGCCGCCCCATCTGGTACTTTGTTACATCAGCCTGAGTGAGTATATTCTCCCCACTGACTTGGAAGACCCACAGCTGGTGGGATGGTTTCCCCTACACAAAGATCCCTTCAACTGAGCCTCTGAAAATTAAAAATGTGTAAAAGGCTCACTCAGAGGGGTCTAGCTTCCACAGACCAGGGAGTCAGGGGTCCCTAGAAATGAACCTTCAGCAAGTTCAGCAAACTTTCTTTTTTTTTTTTTTCCATTTTCCATTGCCTCTCTCCTTCTGCAGCTGGAGCATAATACTCAGGAGAGCACAAGCACTGTATTTCATCAGAAGTCAGCACACAGGGGCAAAACAAGCAGGGAGGAGAATGCAGGGAGGAAAACAACCGAGAACAGCTAAATGCATTCTTAATAAACTACAAGCGAACTGTGCTGTCAAAATACTGGGTTTCGCCTACTCTGATCTCTCTAAGAGGAGCTTTCTTTGAATTTTAAGTCTTTCTGTAAGTGGCATGAACAGGATGTGTTCAGCATGACTCCAAGTCTTGAAAGAATTAATGGCAAGTCTGGTTGCTGGTGGGGGAAACTTGGTAGCTTCTGCACAGGGCCAACCCCATGTCGGAGGAGAAAGGGTCCAGGAATTAGAGCCATGCTGCCGGGCTGGGACAATGGCTCTGCTGGGTCTGCAGTGGGTGTCCTGGGCAGACCCTCCCTGCCGAGTCCCATCATCTCCTTGATACAGGAGGAGCCTGTCCTTCCTCCCAAGTCATGGTGAGGACTCAGACGGACCCAAGGCTTTGAAAGTGGAGTGCTGGGGGCTCATTACGTGTCATCTGTCTGATTATGCAGAAAAGGAGGAAAAGCCTACAGTTTTACTCTCTAAAGGGAGAGGTCTGAGCCAGCAAACTCCGATAAGATGGCACAGCACCTCTGGAGAAACAAAGCAACCATCACGGAAGGCAGCTTCCTCCCCTCAGCTGAAATTTACACTCTAGACGCACTGGAGGCGAATCCGAGGGAGGGATGAGACAGACCCTGGGATGGAAAGGGGGAGGCACAGAAGGACCCACTTGAAGGCTGGGCCTTGTCACACTGGTCACCCTGTTCCCGGGCCTGCCCAGTGGGACTGGTTGCAGCAGGCCAGCCATCGCCCACCAGTAGACATGACAGATAGGGGTACAGCCCAGCTTTCTACATAAACCATTTTATCTCGATGGACTTTTCTTCCTGCCAAGAAGAGAACATCAATCACCCTGCAGCTGCCAGCACAAGGAAATCAAACATCAGATTTCCTGGCTAGGGTTGGCAGAGCTCTGCGGAGCCCTTCGGCCTGTGAGCAGGTGGGAGATGTCTGGGGCCCTGGGGCAGGCTGGCTGGGGGCTGGTGACTCTGGTCACGGTGACCCTGGAGCCTCCCAGCACCTGACCTCAGAGATATCTTGGTTCCAACCACCGGCATCTCTCCGGCCCAGACCTCCCACCTGGGCCCACATGGTTTGGGGGAGGGGACGGGGGGGGGGGCGTCACAGCACTGAGGTGGTCCGTAGTTGACTATACATGGACTTGCCCCTTGCTATCTACCTCTGGGATGGAGGCACCAGTAGGGCCAGGTTTGTCTGGTCTGTGTCATCCCCAGCTTCTCAAACTGGGCACATGACAAGTTTCCAGCAAGCAATTGTTGAATGAATGGATGAATAAATGAATTACGGGCCAGGGCCCTGTGGCTCTCAGCACAGCACACCAGAGGCCACCTCAGTTCACACCTGGAGTAACCCTCCCACCCCCTGATCCTGGAGGAGGGAGCTCTTGGCCTCAAGGCCCCACGGGTTTGCGGTCCAATGATCAGGCCAAGAGCTATGGCCGTGCTCGGCCCAGCTCCCGCCTGCCTCCCCTGAAACACTCCTGCTTGTGCCCTGCTCTATCAGACCAGCACAGGAAAATGGCCTTGGCTTGGCTCGCCCCACTTTCTGTCCTGTGTCCTCAGGCACGTGGGGCTCCTGCCACTGACAGGATGCCACAGATTTTTTCATTGCAAAAGCAAAATACTCAGAACCAGATCACTTAGGGTGAAGTGATCATGGGAGAATGAGTTCTCTGAGCTGAGACCCAAACGTGTCTGGGGCATTTCCTCTTCCTCCCTTCCGTCTTTCCTTCATTCCACTCATCCACCACTACTCATCATCTATCCCTCCTTCCTATCCCTCATCCATCCACCCGTCCATTTGTCCACCTGTCCATCCACCTACCTGTCCATCCACCTGTCAATCCATCTGTCACCCACCCATCATCCATCCACTCACCCAGTATTCTCAGGCCTTGTATTTGTTGCTGGGACATAAAATTAAATAGGGAGAGGTGGGTGGAGGGCAGGCAGCATTCCAGGCAGAGAACACGGCTGGGTCTGGATAAACCTGGAGCTGTCTGCTGGGCTGGCACACAGCGGTGCCGAATAGTTCCTAAGTAATAACTGGATAGCATAGTCTTGGCACTGACGTGGCCATCAGTCAAGTCTTCTATGATTAGGATGGCGGTCAGTGAGGCTGAAGCAGGGGGAGGAAGGGGGGAGACTGGGGTGGAGGGCCTGGGGCCTGGAGGCTGAATGGCCAGAAGGGGCGGCAGGGAGTGGCAGGGGCTGCAGAGGGATGCAGGAGGCTGGGCTCTGAGGCCAGGGTTGGTGCAGGGCAGGCCCGTGGACCGGATGGGGGAGATCTGCAAGTCACGGACTCTCAGACGAATGCCAGATGTTCCACTAAAAATAACCAAATATGTAATTTTTGTGCTAAATCAGATAGCATCTTCAGTTGGATTCCTGGGCGGGCGGGCGAGTTGTATCAAGTACCAGAGATTTAAAAGCATGTATTGGGGGCTGGAGGGAGGTGGGAGCGGAGAGCATTTCACATACAGAGGCTTGGGGCCCTGGTGACTGGGGACAAGGCCTCCATTGTGAGGTTCTCAGGGAAGCGTCTCCACCATCATCTCCACCGTCATCTCAGCAGGATCCACTCTCTGGGAGCAAGAGGCAGGGCAAGGGGGGTGGCTGAAGGAATGCAGGGTGGGGTGGCTCCCTGAGGTGAGGGAGGGCTGGGCTTGTTGGGGAGATGGGAGGAGTTCATGTGGAAGCAGAGAAAGTGTTAGCTGCTCAGCCGTGTTTGACTCTTTGTGACCCCTTGGACTGTGGCCCGCCAGGCTCCTCTGTCCATGGGATTCTCCAGGCCAGAATACTGGAGTGGGTTGCCATGGCCTTCTCCAGGGGATCTTGCCAACCCAGGGGCTGAACCAGGGTCTCCCTCACTGCAGGCAGATTCTTTAACTGTCTGAGGCACCAGGGAAGCCATGTAGAGGCAGGGAGGCTGGTATCTGGGAGTAGGCAAGCGAGACAAGGAGAAGAAATAGCAGTGGCGGTGCAGGAGTGGACTGTCCGGAGAGCACGGGTGGGTGGGATTAGGAACCAGTGAAGCAGAAAGGGTCACTCGGTGTTTCCCAAAGTGTGTCCCACAAAACACTAGCTCCATAACTTCCCCATTAAAAAGGGTTCCAGGACAGGTAAGTTTGAGAAGCACTGGCTTGACCACCATCCATGGTGTCCCCTACAGTGCTGCTAGGGGCAGGGGCACTCCAGGTGGCTGGCCTCGTTGTTTCCAAACTCATTTCCCCGGAAGCTGGGGTGATTAGGCTAAATGTCAGCAAAGAACCGTGGAGGTTCTGGCTGCTCCAGATACAGTCGGTGCATGAAGGAAGGGCGGGTGAAAGGGCAGGCTCGGGGAGCTTCCCTTCCCCTCACATGCTCGGACGACCTGCCAAGGATGCTTCTGAGGATCAGAGCTCCCTGATGGCTCAGCGGTAAAGAATTCACCTGCAATGCAGGAGCCGCAGGAGACCGGGGTTCAATCCCTGGGTGGGGAAGATCCCCTGGAGGAGGGCATGGCAACCCACTCCAGTATTCTGGCCTGGAGAATCCCACGGACAGAGGAGCCTGGTGGGCTCCAGTCCGTAGGGTGGCAATGAGTCAAATATGACTGAAGCGACTTAGCACGCACACAGCATGAGGAATAGTCCACCAAGGCAACTTCACCCACCTTCTCCACCAGCTGTGGGGCTGCGACTCTGGGACCCCTGCACCCCTTGGGGCCTTACTGGCCCCAAGGCCCCTGACCCCAAGGAGCGGGCTCCCGGGTCTGCACACCTACCTTCCTGTCATTGAACTCCACGTTATCCCCTTCATAGTCTCCCTGGAAAGAGAGAAAGGCTCTTACTCTCCTGTGACCTTTCCACAAGGCAGGTGGGCTCATCCCAGGAGAGAACCTCATACCGTGCACAAGGGTGCCCAGGTCCCCTCCTCCCGTGATAACACGCGCCGTGAGCTCCGGGCTGTCCTGCCAGCCCTCCCTCCACTTCCAGAAAGCCCAAAGCACCTTCCCCTCGATGTAGACCCAGGAAGGGCAAGCAGTCAGTCCCTTGGAACTGGTGACACAGAGGAAAGGGGCTTTGCGGGCTGGAGGGGTGGTCAGTGAACATCCCATCCTGCCAGGGACATCCTGCTGTCTTGTCTCAGACACCACCTGGGCGGTGCCCCTCTCCCTCTCAAGAAGGGTACCCCCCTCACCCAAGGAAGATGCACCTCAAGGTGACCCTCTCCCTCTCAAGTGTCCCAGGAAGGATGCTGACTTAGATTGGTGAGGCCAATGTCCTCATCCTACAGATAGCAACATCGGAGCTCAGAGGAGCATACTGACTTCCCTGGGAGAGACGCGAGATCTGGTCAGACCTGGGACTTGGATCCAGGTCTCCAATCCCAGCAGAAAAGGAGGGCCTAAAAGTCAAAAGGGAGCCCAGTTTCCCAGACAGGTGACAAAGACGAACAGAAGTGTGGGAGAGGCTGGGCTGAGGGGGTCTGCCTGGTGCCTGCTCCACTCACCAGCTCCTTCCACGAGCCCCACCAGCCCAGCTAGCCCCCTCCAGTGGTGAGAACGTGATCACCAGACCAGACCACTAACACCTGTGGTCTCTGAATGAAGATGCTCTGGGAGCAGTTTAACCAAGTTCCCCTCAGTCTTTAGGCTGCCTCAACCTTTATGCCTCCCCAGTGCTTTCCCTCTTGGCTGAGATGGCCCCATGACTCCAGGAGCACCTCATTCCCACAGAGGTCAGTTTGTTGGTGACCTGGAAGGGGGCAGTTGCCAACCAGGAAGGAAGCCAAAAAGCTGTCCAGCAGCAGTTTTAATGCCAAGTCCTTCTCCGGAGTTGAACGCCAGTTACGGATCGGAAGGCTCTTCCTCCATCCTCCATGCACAGTCATAACTGGTTGTTGTCTGGTTGGCCATGACCCAGAGCCTGGTCTGACGGATGGATGCTCTTGCTGAATGAATGGACAAGTGAGGCCCTGGAGGGGGTGGGGTGCCCCGGGCCACATACTGAGATGCGATCTAGCACAGCTCAGTAGTAAGAGGCTGATGGTGAGAGCCATACACGCACAGGAGGAGAAGGTGCAGCTTCAGTGCAGCCAGCATCCTCTATTTAAGGCATGGGGTCCAGGGGCTCCATTCAGAAGGATTTATCGGCCCAAATATTTGAATGTCAGCTTCAGTACTTAATGGTGTGCGTGTCCATCAGCTGCACGGAAAATTCATGGACAGAAAATCTCATATTCCCTGGAGATGACTGAGGTCCATCATCTGGCTGGAAAGAACCCTGGAAGCAGAGCCAGCATCTGGGCTCTGCCCCTTGGCTGTGTGCCGCTGGGCAAGTGAAGAGCAGCTGCAGTCTCAGTCTCCCCATCTGTAAAGTGGGAACAGTCCCCACATGACAGGCTTCCCTACTTCCCTGTTAGGTGCAAAGATGATGATGCGAGAGGAATTTCCAAGATATGGAGCTTGGAAATGCCTTTTGTGGGCCCCGTGGATTAGACAGTCTTGTACTCGTTGCTTTAAACTACAGTGAGAATCCATTCTTAAGACAAATGTACCAGCCAAGCCTGAGAAGAGGAGGTGCATCGGGCTCCAGGGAAGGTGGAGGTGGTTGTGCAGCAGGGGGTGGAATAGCCTGTCAGCCACATCTGTCTTCTGGCCCCAGCTCCCTGACAGGGGTGCTGTGTGACCTTGGGCAAGTTACTAAACCTCTCTGAGCCTTCGGGTCGGCACCAGCTTAAGTGAGATAAAGCTCCTACTAAACATGGTTCTTTGTATACAATTAAGTGCTCAGAAGCATTGATTTCTCCCCTTTCCCTTTTGAGACTTAAAGGGCTGAATCAAGCAGGCAGGGAGGCCCTGAAATGTTTTGGCTTCTGTCCCTGACCTCTTGGTAGGGGTGACCAGCCAGAAGGCAATGCAGGGCTGTGTTCCTGGTGCCCGTGGGGCTGAGCAAACCCAAGAGGCACCAGTGGGGTGCATGAGTGAGGCCCCTTCCCGGGAGGAGCCAGGAGCTCCAGCCAGGACCTGTGGTCTGAGGCTGGTCCTGGAAACATTTATCCAGCAATAGGTCAATTGTCTAGACCACCTGACTTCATCCCACACCACATTTACTGAGTACGTAGAAGGTACTCGTTTTGCCACATGCAAAACGAATGACGGGCAAATAGTGTTTTCTTAGTGGAACAGAGAGCAGGCAGGCCCAGAGAGGAAGGGAGGACTCAGCCGTGGGGGGGAGGGGAAAAGGCAGGCTCCAGGTCGTTGCTCTCTCTGCCCTGGGCGAGGGTCCAGGCAGAGAAGGTGAAGAGCATTGCAGGCAGAAGGAACAGCAGGAACAGAGACACAGAGATGGGAAAGCAGGATGGGCTGATCCCCAGCCCCCCAGTGAGTGACAACGGGCGGCGGCAGGTCAGCTAAGCATCCTTCCCTCTGGGTCAGCAGCCCGGGTGGACGGCTCTTTGCTGTCTGACCCCCTCTGTTTGTCCAACCCAGTGTCGCACTGAAAGCCCTCCCACTTCTGTATTCCCATCACCACCCTCTGCAGCCCTGGCAACTGGACAGGGCGGGCATTATTCCCAACTTGCAGATGGGCTGCCTCCAATCAAGGCCGCAGAGGAGGGAGTGGCCATGACTAGAATCTGGGTCCTTGGACCCCCAGGCCTGCCCCTCTTCTCTCTTAGCCTCTGCAGTAACACACATTTGGAAAGTTCCAGAGATCCTCTGTCTGGGGTTCCCACACTGCTTAGGCCCTACGGCCCATCCCCATTGCCCTGCTGAACTCTAGTCCCTGTTTCCATGGAGATAATAAGAAGAGAATCCTCTTTCTCTCCATTGCGAGCCAAGACAATGTGGCTGTGGCCACAGGCTATATTTGTCAGGGGGTACCAGTGGGATTTGGAGATGCAGCTCAGGAAACTGGCCACTGGCTCTGCAGAAGCAGATACTCGGAGAGCTCTGCCCCATCTGCCAGAGCCCTGCGGGGCAGCGGGCGGGGAGGCTGAGCCAGCGCACAGTTCTTGTGGAGCAGCTGGCCTGAAGTTCAGATACACCTGGGGCGCTGTAGCACAGCGCCCTTGTCCTGGAGGAACGGTTCAGTGAGAAAAGATGGCTCTGCATGTAAGTCTGGTCCCACCTGAGGGAACCAGGAAGGGCTGTGAGCCAGTGACGTTTTTACAGGAGTGCCAAAGCAGGAAGCCTGAACTGCAGGATGACGAGAGCTCCCTGGGGGAGCTCTGGTGTGGTGTGACCCTGGGGACCTGGGGACTCACATGACATGCAGAGATGGACAGTATGGGTTAAGGTTACTTACATCGTGCAGGGGGTAGGCCGCCGAGTAGACACCATTGGCCAGCAGGCTCGTGATGCCTTGAAAATAAAGGCAGAGAGAGGATTACGGACCAGTCACGTCTCCTGCGGCTCTGGGTTCAATCAGAGAGGTCCCAGGACTGTCTCAATCATTGAGAATTTTCTCAAAGCGAGCCACACCTGGCCGCACAAAGCCCGGCCACCTTTCTGCGGTTTCCTCCCCGGGTTCGACTGGGAGATGATAAAAACATGCTCTGTTGGCAGAATTAGAAAGACAGAGAGGAAACCCCAAGAGGAAGTGACACCTGGGAGGAAGAAGGGACCCCCAAACCTGCGATTCACCAGCTACCCCCACCTGCTTGAGGGCAAGCCTGCAGATGAATGAGGGAAGTGGAATGTAAGTGGTTAGAGAAGCTGAATCATGAGAAAAATATGGATGGGAAAATTGATGGTGTCAGAAAACACACATACAATTTGGAATTAGATTTTAGGTTGATTGGAAAAGCTGAAGAGGAGGCCTGCGGGCCCCACGCGGGGCAGAGGCACTTACCGTATCTATCACACTTGCGCCTCTTATTTAAAAGGGCAGAGTCCTTCTTTCTTCCCTCTCCTTGCCCTGTTTATACATTCGGCTATTAGTTATACACGAATGAGGCCCCAAGGATCAAAGCTGTGTCTGGGGGGCAAGGCGCTCACTTTTGCTGTCCAGTGTTCCTGGGGGGCAGTGGAACGACGGCCGGGTCCTAGTTTATTGCTCAATGCCCCGCACTGGGAGCAGGATAAACCTAACCACACCTGCACCTCCCAGAGTCCAGAGGTGTGGACTCCGGTGCCCAGCCCCAGAGTAAGGGGGTAAGGCAGAGCCCGGCTATGCACAGGGCCTGGGGTTCTTAGAGATCTGATCTGGGGAGCTAGAGCTGCCCAGGAGTTTCCACGAATCCCTTTGCAGGTCACAGAACCCTCCACCTGGCCCAAGAGCCTTTCTAGGCAGTAAGTGGGTCAGACATTTCAGTGGCCTCATTGTCCCACTGGTGACTACTTTACTCTGGCATGGATGGGAAAGTCTCTCTGTGAAATCCACTTAGAAATAGACCATCTCTTCAGTTAGTGATCTGGGGTAACCAGGGCATCTGAGGACGCTTAGAAACCCAAAGCAGAGTGAGGTGGGAGCATGTGGCCAAAGTCCCCTGGCTGGAAAGTTCAGCTATGATAAAACGTGAAGGAGGGGCCTGATTCAGGTTCACTGGCTCCTTATCGTCCCCAGAACTCTCTCAACACGGTGCTGCCACAGGGCCTTTGCACAGGCTGTACTATCTGGAAGGCCCACCCCTCTAACACCACCTCATCAGAAAGATCACTGATCACTGATTCTAAATCCCCCCTTACTCCCTATCCCCTTCAACCTGCAAGACTATGTTGTGGTTTACCTGGTTCTCTCTGATCTGTCTCTAGACAGAAACTCCCTCTAGAGCAGAAACTCCCTGAGGGTGGGTTCCTACCTGGCACAGGGGTTAGTGGGTGACAGACCCCATCTATGAATCTGGAGGTCAGGAGGGCTTTCAGATAAGGTGCCAGTGTGAAATGGGGAGCAGAGAAGGACCATCTGTCTGCTCTGTCACTGTTGCTGGTAATCAGCCCCGCCATGGAACTTGCCAGAAGACAGAGACAGCTACCCCCTCACCAGGATGACCTGGTGTGGGGTCGGCTCTGGCTGAGAAGTGCCCAATCCTGAACTCTTTGCAAACCTTCACAGCAACCACACAAATATTCACCAGCAGGGACCCCATGCATTTAGTCAACCAGTCATGTTTGACTCTGCGACCCTATGGACTGTAGCCTGCCAGGGTCCTCTGTCCATACAGGGACCCTACAGGGAGACTGAGGTCAGGGACGCATCGCTGGGGCTAGACCCATGCTTCTCCCACCTCTGGTGGCCTGGGTCGCCCTGGAGGATCTCGCTCCATCGGCGGCTAGGCTATGGGGTCAGTTTTCCTGGCTTCCTCTTGGCTCCCAAATCACTCCCTGCCCAGTGACTTAGGACACAGGCTTAGAGATTTCAGTCCCACAGCGCCCTGTGACCACTGGCCTCACTAGGCAGGGGACATGCAGCCCACTCGACCCTGGAGGCGGCATCCTCTCCCTCTCCCCCGCATCCTGGGCCTGCTCCAGGCTTCAGCTGAGAGCATCTCACTCTTTCTCCTGCCCCCACTCCACAGGAAGCCAATAGGGAAGGGGTCTCCCCTGGTGTACAGGCTCTTACCAGACCCTCCCTGCACCCTTGAACCCCAGCCACCAAACTTCAGATGCTTCTAGAGCATGAAGGACTGTGCTGTGAGCTTAGCTCTCAGCAGTTGTAAAACAGCTCCAGGAGAAGTGAGGAAAGGGTGGGGAAAGGTGTCCCTTTGTCCTGAAATGATTTGCTTTAGTAAATTCAGCCCACGTTGTGGGCAAGGGACCCCCTTGGGGAGGGGGTTACCTTCTGCATGCTTTGATCAGAAAGGTTTTGCACCTGTGGTTGAGATGTTCTGTAAACTGGTACCCGAGGAGCCCAGTGGCAATGGTTTTGTGGCAGGTTTCGCATCCGGGCGCCCCTTCCAGCAGGGCCGCGGCCCAGGGTGGGAGGCGGGGGAGGAACCTTCCAGGCTGCATGTGTGTCTGGCTACTGGCCGAGGACGGTGCCCTCACGGGAACCCTAACGACCTCCCCTTGGACTCAGAGGGTCAAGAGCAGGGTGAGGCCCCTTGGTGGCCCCTCCAGTTTCCTGCAGGCAGGATTCACTACTTCTGCTGGGAGAGGCACCGCAGGCCACCACCGACGCCTCCAGCCAGAGACTAGGATCCTTTGGTGCTTAAAGGGCCGTAAAACCGCCTTGTGGTCCTGGAACAGCTCTCCTGCCTTGAAACGGTTACACAGGCTTAAATCAAAACCCTCTGGAAAGCCCCAACCCAGCCGCCCAGCCCCCACGGAGAAGATGGGGAGGAAGATCACACAGCAAGACAAGTGCTGACCTCAAGCCCCAAGCACGCCCTTACCCATGCTGTACTTGGCCTTGGTACACGTTGTTCTCTTCAGGATTTCATAGACCTGTGGTGGAGACAGGGGCGGGGGCTGCAGTTACTCCATTGAGGGTGGCTGGGAAGGGAGGTGGTGACCGTGACCAGCCTCCCGCATCCCCCTAGGATGGTGTCAGGACAAGGTCACCCTGAAAGGCTCTTGCTGAGTTGGCGCCCAGGGATATGGGTGTCCAGTGCACGGCGTGTTTCTGCCCCTCCGGCTGAGAGGTGAGCTGGAATTCAGAGGTGTGAGGGCCCTGCCCACAGGACCACTCCCTGATGAGGCCCTGGATGTTCTAGAAACTCAAGCTCCTTTCAGTTCAGTTCAGTCGCTCAGTTGTGTCTGACTCTTGGCAGACCCCATGGACTGCAGCACGCCAGGCTTCCCTGTCCATCACCAACTCCTGGAGATCGCTCAAACTCACATCCATCAAGTCAGTGATGCCATCCAACCATCTTTACTAACAAATTACTTCACTTCGATCCTTGGGAGCCCAGGCCTGGGGGTCTGCCTGTCTGCATTTGAGTCCTTGAAGCTGTGGGGTCTTGGGCCAGCTACCTCGTGCCCTGAACCTCAGTTTCCCTATCTGCAGAATGAGATGAAAAGAACTGACCCTGCACTGTGTTCAGGTCATAGCACTCCAACCCCCCAAGACCCCTGAGGTCCCCTGCCTCCCAGTGCCCCTCAGGCCCTGAGCTGTCTGACTTCTGTTCACCTGCCCAGCTCTATCCCAGCAACCCGGCCTCCTGTCTGCCCCTCACTCACTGGCCTTCTCCTGGGACCCCAGGGTCTGCACCCTGGCCATTCCTTTCACCAAAAACACTTGTCCCCCAAGAGCTAAGTGGCTGCAGGACCACCTTAACAAACAAGCAACCGAGAAGCCACGGTCCCCACTGCTCCACCTTCTAATTTTGCTCTCACTCTCCCTTTCTTTTTGGCCGTGCCTCGTAGCTTGTAGGATCTCAGTTCCTCGACCAGGGATTGAACCCTGGCCCCAGCAGTGAAAGTGTGGCTTACTAACCACTGGATTGCCAGAGAGTTCCCTAACTCTACTCTCTAATCCTGGATCCCTCCACACTTGCCAAGTATCAAGGTACCTGTTGCTTCTCCCCTCCCGCCTGTCTTGGGAAGACACCAGGTGCTCAGTAACCGATTGACGAGTGAATGAATGAATCACCCAGTGAGCTGGCTCCCTCCCTGGCACTTTCTGAGTCTCATCGGTGGCCTCATCCTGACCTTGCTGCTTCTCCCGCAATCACCTCTTCCCTTGCACATGCAGTTACAGCCCTGGTTCACAACCACCGCTGTGACCCCATATCCACCCTCTTCCATGTCTGGCCACTGGTGGTGATTTTTCTAGGACCTTGCTCCACAACCATCTGTGGCTCCCTAGTGCCTACCGGTGGAAGATTCAAGTCGCAAGACCCAAGGGCAACCTCTGGCCCTTCCTCATGGTTCTCTGATGATCCTGGCTCCTACCCACTTGCACATTAGGTTGCCCCAATGCCAGGAGCCCAGGGAAGGAGGCAGGAAGGACTGTCATAGCCTTGTCTAGAACGATGCTGGGTCTCTGAGACCACAGGATCGAACTAACCAAGGGCAGAGTTTTAAGTCACCAAAGAGTTTCTCTGGTGCATTGGTGGTTTAAAAACTGGCCTTCAAGGTCTCTGGGAGACAGTGACTCCCACCCCAGAGGTAATCAGAACCAAGGATGATTCAGCTAACACTGGCTCTGACAGAATAGATTTCTGTGACTTGGGGATCATGTCTGAATTCAATTATAAAGCAGATCCTAAACAAAATGGGGCCCCGAGCCTTCATTCACATATGCCCCCCCAACCTCGGGCCACCTCCTTGACAACAAGAATGAATTTACAAATTTACACCCTACCCTTCCAGGAGCATCCTAGTGATTCCCGGTAATATAAAACCAGGGCACACATAAATCTAGAAACGGCAGGTTCCCAGGTCTCCCCACTGGCCATTCCAATCCTCCCTCATCCCAAAATGACAAAGAAAAAAATGAAACCATTCAGGTTCAACTGGGTCCAGTTCTCTGGAACAGTCATTGGCCAAGAGGAAGTTACCTCTCCTGGACACATATCAACCCCAAACTACACCAGCCGTAGGCATTTCTGCGTAAATGAATTCCTCCTTGTTTATTATAATGAGATTGAATTTCACCAATAACACAGTCAATACTAACAGTAGGCCCTGCATCCAGGTCACCCTTGGAGGGGGCACACGGCAGCCCTTTGAGCAGGAGGCCACCACGGAAGCTGCCAGGCTGGGAGGGGACACCGGGTGGGTGGGACCTGGGTCTGCCTGTCCAGGCATTGGCCCCAGCTCCCCATGCCAAGGTGGCATGCACCACTGTCCCGTGCCTGGTGCCTGCCAGCCTTGAGACACAGGTGTGAGGGGCAGCTGTCTGCTCAAGGTCAAGAGGCTGCCTGCTCTCTGCCCTGCCCCTCTCCTCGCTGGGTTGGGAAGAGAGGAAAGCAGCAGCTTGGCCGCCAGGTTAATCCTTGTTTAGATAGAAGTTGGGTCCCGAGCTGGGGACAGCCCAGCATGGCTGGTGGACAAGTTGGCGGCTGCTGGATAAATATTAAACCAATACCTGGAGTAGGGCAGAGTGGCCTGGTCAGATTTCAAACCACAGTTTGCTCGTCTGGAAATCTAGCCCCAACCCTCATGCCTTTGTCTGCACCACACTGTCAGCCCCGCCTGGCCGGCCTGCTCAGAAACCTCCAGGCAGAGAGGAACGTACAAACTCCATAAGGGCAGCTGCAAGGAGGCAGGAGAGGCGTGTGGGGAGCCCCAAAGACAAGGGAACATTCTGAAATAACCCGCGGGGTCTGGAGTCCCTCTGCCTCTTTCCTGAGGATCCACCCGTGCGTCCCCTGGGCTCCTCACAGCCCGCTGGTTTTATTATTCTCATTATTTCCATCACAGACAATTAGAGCCCCTCCACCCAGGGGAATTTAGCTGAAATGAAATTATCATCCTGTTTCCCAGGGGCCACCTTGCTGGGGAGCTGTGGATTCCCATGAGTGAGTGATACTTACTATTGTGCTCCGGGTTTTGCTGTCGAAAAAGGAATCCTTGTCAGACAGGTCAAATCTGTTGAAATATTGGGGGGAAGAAAGAGACACAGCTCACTGGAGTTGGCTCTCCTGGTTTCCAAGACCCTAAGGGGTCATACTACCTCTGTGAATGGTGACCATGAAATCGGCAAAGCTCAGTCCGCCTGCTGGGTGAGACCCAACCCTGGATGTTTGTCTCATCCTCACCCCCTGGGGAGGCTGGGAGACCCACATGGGGTCGCGGTGTGGGCGGAGGAGGTGACCCTAGCAGCAAATGTGGTCAGATCTCCTCTTCAAGGACTCTTTTTCTTTCCGAGGACACCCTCAGGGGGCCATTTCACTTCTGCTTCAGTGACACCAGGGTGATCACACTCTTGGGTACTTTAACATTTCAGACAGTCTCACTGTAATTCCCAAATGGTTTCGATCCTGAGGTCTTGGGCCACACAGATGTCTTAGGGCTAGAGGGCAAAGGGACATGTCTGAAATGTATCACCCACTCCCCAAGACAGTCAGGGTTGAGCTGGGGAGGGCAACTCGGGGTGGGGGTGGCTCAGAGCCTGGAGGAGAGCCAGGCCTGCAAGATGGGGTGCCGAGGGAGGTGGGCGTGGCAGAGCCGAGAGAGGCCAGGGCCGGGCCCTATGGGCCATGGAAGGTGGGTGTCTCCCTCTCAAGCCCAGGGGCTTGGGTCCTGGGGCTGGAGGGGGAAGCTGGGCTGGGGCACTTCCTCTCTCTCATGTCTGATCCCCAGCAGGACTGGGAAACAGCGATGGAGCATGTGGCCCCTGCCCTATGACTAACGCCCGGGCCAGAGCAGAAGCTCCAGTTCTGAGCTGAGGCCCAGTTCTGTGGGTCCCATGGGACAAGGGGTGTCCAGGGGCCTCCCACCCCCCACAGCTTTGTAATCCCAACCCCACAGGATTCCCAGACTCCAAACTTTCTATTTCCACTCCCACCCACGCTCCAGCTCTGCCCGGAAAGGCCGTGCAGCCGCCACTGACCCGGGTAGCTACGCCCTACTGCCCATCAAGAGTGGGGGAGGAGGGAAGGTTCCAGAAGGCTGTAGCCCTGCCAGGCCGCCCGGCTAGCTGCAACACCTGGGCCCTAGAACTCTGGCTGGGGGGCTGCTTTCCAATTCTCAGCTCCCAGAGCTCGGCAGACCTCAGGGGCTACAGTCAACCTTGCCCAGTTCCTCAGAATGTGTCCTGAGAGGGACGGAGTCAGGCAGCGGTGGGGGCCCAGGCCTGCCCTCACTCGGGCCTATGCTAGTTTTCCTGAGTGTCACCCAGTAGAAGGGTGAGAGTTTGTCCCCTTAATTCCTCAGTTCATAGTGACCTCAGAGGTTATCTCCAGGGCCCCTTCTGTGCTTGAGAACCACAAGCTCTTACGGGAATATGCTCCAGGGGCTGAAGTGGCCACTTCTTTGGGCAGGGGAGGGATGGAGAATTCTGGTTGGTCCTGCAGACTGTGTCATTAGGGCAAGTCCAGAGTAGGGTGGTGTCACCACACAGCAGGTCCCGCCCTCTCCGGGAAGGGGTGGGCAGGTGGGGCCCCCACTTACAGATGCTGCTTCTCCCGGGAGAAGGGGTAGGAGAGCCTCTTGGTGGTCTGGGGCCTGTGCTCTGCCACCTTGGGCTGGATGGGGTCTGTGATCTTCTGGAGCACAGAGTTGATCTTCTTGAGGAGGCCGCGAGTCTCGCTGATATGATATAGCTGTGGACCAGGCAGGGTAGGGGGGCGCGTCATCTGCTGGGCCCTGACCCTGGGCATCTCTTCTGAGCTGGTTGGGGAGGCAGTCCCTTCCCCCCTACCCCTCCAACCCTGGAGCTGGCTGGCCTGGGAACAGGGGGTGGGGATGGGCCAGGATGCCTCCTCTACTCCTGGGTTTCCTGAAAGCTGGGTTTCCTGAAAGCTCAGAGTTTCGGGAGATCCCAGCCAAAAGGGCAGTTCTAGTACATTCCAAGGAACTTCCCCCAACTTTGCATTTGTTTAAAAAGAGGCGATCCAAAGGATGCTGGTGGATTTGAGAAGCTGGGAGCTGACATTCCTGAGAACAGCTTCCCTCTCCACGCTCACAAGTAAACCCTGAGGCCTCCCTGAGCTCCTGGGACACATGGGGTTCCCAGCTTGAAGTTGTCGGAGATCAAGAAGAAAAGCCCCAGCAGGCCAGAAAACGTAATCATATGAAATGAGTCTGATGAACTAGCTGAAATACTGAACATAGGAACAGTGGAGCAGGAAGTTTCCCTGTGTTTGTGTTTATGAGAAGCTCCCGGGCTCCTATGCCATCTCCGTGGGGCCCAGACTGTAACCTCCGCCCTCCCAGGGGACCCTGGAACTCCCCTGCCCTCCCAGGGTGGGTGGGCAGCTGAAGCTCCCTTGGGCTTTTTCCTAACAACCCGGACCCTCCCGATGTTGTTCTCCTGCCGGCTTCCCTGACACACAGACCCAGGGACCCCTTGGGAGCAGAAGCATCATCGCTGACCTTCTTTGTTGGCATCTTCAGTTTCAAAAACTCGGCCTCTCGGCACAGCACATTCCAGGGTGCGTGGATTTTTACAAATCCAACCCCGTGAATTTTTGTCTAGAAAGAGGGGAGAGGGCCTCAGTCAGCGTGGGCAGATGTTTGGGGCTGAAAACCATTTTTACCTTCAGGGCAACTACAGTTTACAAGATGGCAGCAGGTGGGGCTCCTTCTACTCATCAACTCCAGGCTCCTCTGATGATGCTCCCTGGCACCTTAGAATCCCCTGCAGATGGCACAAGAAAGCTGGGGGTTGGGTGGGCCCCTGGCATCCCACAAGAGTGATGAACAGGGAGGGGTTGGGCGCGGTGCCTGGAGGGAGGTCTTGACCCCACAACACCTGGGAGGTACTGGGGGTGGGGGGAAGCTGAGGGCCCCCAGAACAGTCTGAGCCACGTAAGACCGTTCACATCCAAGACTCCAGGCCCTTCGACTGAGGGGGTGTATTCAGTGTCCCCAGGATCCTCAAGCAGGGCTGAGGAGCTGACAGTGAAGATGGTCCCCTCTGGGCACCTCTGTGGGTCAGGACACGCCTCTGACTGGATCTGGCCACCACCCCACCCCCAGCCCCTGTCCGCCAGCTTCCCTGGGTCTGCACTGCCTTTATCCTAATGTGGGCAGCTGGAGACCCGCCCGTGTGCAAGTCCATCACCCTGACTAAGCGGCTGTGAACTTGGACAGTCACTTCTCTCTGGTCCAGCGCGTCTGAATGACAGGATCAGGCAGCAGAGGGTCGCTGAGTGCCGTTCGGCCAGGGACCACACAAACTATGACAAGAACTTTGAGGACAGGCTCCAGTGGTAATAGCCGCCTCTCCCTGCCACCCCGGTCCAGCCAGAACCCGACGCGAGATGGGCTGTTCCCTGCGCCCTCCTTGGCGCCAGGGGCGCACTCCACTGAGGCAGGGGCCGCTCCGCCTGTACTTCTCCGCCCCTAGCCCACCAGGACGGCCGCTCCCGCAGTCCGCCCACTGTGCGAGTGGGCGGGGGGCGGGGGCCCCACTCCAGGGCCACCTCATCGGTGCGCTAGCTGACCGGTGGGGCCGGCGGCAGGCTGAGCCCACTGTGCCTGCAACCTCAGACAGTGATCCCAGGACCACGGTGGCCACCGCGCTCTCTGCTGCCTGAGGACCTCTCTCTGCCGAGAGCCCGGGAACGACCTTGCTGGAGCGGCTGGCACGTCCTCAGACCTGGAAGCTTTCTGTTGCCACACCTTTCAGCCCGGGTGCAGTGGCAGCAAGGCAGGCTCTAGCTATCGCGGCCCGGCTCGGGCCCTTTCCCCAAGCAAGTGACCGTTAGTGAGCAACTGTCCACCAGCGACCGTTAGAGGTCCTGCTCAGCCATTGGTCAGTGCCAAGATGGTTTTTTGAGAGGCTAGTCTGCTGTTTTCAGTTTACTGGCTTTCTGGTTAAAGTCGTTATTCCTTGTTCCAGCAACTCATCTCCCCATTTATTGGCCTGTCCTGGGGCTAGCAGAACAAGCTTGGGCTCAGTAATACAACGAGCTCGATGGGGAAGGCTGAATCACTGCTCCCTTCATGGATGGGGGACACTGAGGCTTGGAGAGATGAAGTCACAGCCTAGGTTCCTCAGAAAATTAAAACGAGAGCCACCATCTGACCCAGCCATCTCACTTCTGGGTAGCCAGCCCAAGACAATGACATCAGGATCTCGGAGAGACAAGTGCACTCCCATGTTCACTGCAGCCTTGCTCCCCGACAGCCAAGATATAGAGACAGTCTGAGGGTCCTTCAGTGGGTGAGCAGATCAGGAAAGTGTGGGAGATAGATACAGTGCGGTATTATCCAGCCATATAAAGAAGGCAGTCCTGCCATTTGTGACCACACAGACAAACCTGGAGGATAGTCTGTTCAGTGAAACTAGTCAGACAGAGCGACAAGTATGGTATGGTATCACTTAACGTGTAGAATCAATAAAAACCTATTTCACAGGCATGGAGTAGAGGCGCTGGGTCAGGGGGATGGGGAGATGTAGGTGAGAAGGACCAACTTTCAGTTATAAGATAAAGTTCTGAGGACCTAACGAACAGCAGGGTGACTGTAGTTAATAATATGGTATTGTGTACGTGAAAGGTGTTGCGAGACCAAAGCATCCTCACCATACACATGTGCGCACACACATACATGCACGTACACACACACACACACAGAGCTAACTGTGTGAGGTGATGCATATGTTGGGCAGTCATTCCATGACATCTATGGGCATCAAGTCATCACAATGTAGACTTGAAATACACAAAACTGAATCTATCAATGACTCCTTAGTGAAGCTGGGGGTCTAAAATCAGGGCCTGGCACCTTGTGGCTGGTGGGTGTGGGAACCCGGGTTCACATGAACCCGGCTGTACACACTCTTAATCACAGGTGAGGCCTGAAGCAGCCCAGCAACTCTCTCTTTTTCTTTTGCTGTTTTTCTCTGTTCCCCTTGCCATTTGTGTTTAACAGATTCCCAGTATCGAGTGAGCAGTGTCAATGCAGCAATAATGTTTCCCCACCTAAGGTGTGCGCATGTAACACCAACAGACTTCCCAGTCGCCCTGAGATAACTGGGGGCTGCATCACAACATAAAGCAAAAAAACACGACATTCCCTGAGACAGAGCTGCCTGACGGCAGCGGGAACTATGGCCCACCAGACTTCCCAAGGGGACCCCCAGGGGCTTGGAGCCCACGCTGGGCCCCCCAGCTTGAGGCCACACTTGCCTTTCCACCATTCTGAAGGTCCTGGCAGAAGAAAGCCAGGCCATGGAAGGGGGATGGTGTGGCCGGCAGGGGGACTCAGGGCAGGACCGACTTGGGTCTGTGCTGGGCTCCACGTCCAGTCACCACCCTTGGAGTGTACAGAGTTCTTGGGATCACTGTAGGTTTTTGCAAAAAGCAGTGGAGCTGAAGTCACTTAGGATGGTCTTTAAGAAAAAAAGTCCTCAGTGGGCCAAACACATTCACTCAGTGCCAGCCTCGGCCCCTAGTGAGATGCAGACTCCTGCTCATCTGTGGCTGTGCCCACAGCCCACCAGGGCAAGGGGAGCCTCCCAGACACCACGTGCCACGGGGGGTTCTTCCCCCACTTTGAGTGAAGGGTTGCACCCCCCTGGATGAGCCCGGCTCTCCCCTCCACCTCTGACCCTGAGGCCCCCATGCCTCCCATGACCAGAGGATCCAACCTCTCCTGGGGCCTCTGTGTCACTACACAGGCCTTGTCCATGTGGCCCCAGCAGGCAAGGTGAGTCCTGTGTGGAACCTCCCAGCTCGCTGGCCTTGCTGCCCACATCGGGGCCATGCAAGAGCACCACGTGTCCTCTGAACGAGTGGATGAGGGGCCCTAACAATGATGGTGATGACAAGAAGGAGGAGGAGGTGAAGGGGGCTGAGATCCAAATGTCAGTCCCTGATTCAGGCATCTGTGAGTATTAACTCATTTAACCTCATGACAAGGTTGTGTGTTGGGGGGGTGGGGTGGGTCTTGCTACTGTTCTCACCTTGGAACTGGCAAGTTCACGGTTAGTGTCCAGGGGCGGCTGCAGCCATTGGCCACAGACTGGACAGCTTTAACACGATTTCATTCTCCCCCAGTTCTGGAGTCGGAAACCTGTGATCAAGGTGTGGGCAGGGCTGAGCTCCCTTCAGAGGCTCCAGGGGAGGGTCCCTCTGGCCTGGTCCAGCCCCTGGGGACTCCAGGCCCCCCTGGGCTTGTGGCCACATCACCCTGACCTCTGCGTCTATCTGCACAAATCTCCCCTGGGTGGCTCTGTGCTTCAGATCACCCCCTCTTCTCTTCCAAGGACACCCGTCATTGGATTTAGGGCCCACATGCATCCCGGGTGATCTGGTGCAGAGGTCAGTAACTTACTTCCATCTGCCAAGAACTTTCATTGGAATAAGGTCACCTTTGAGGCAGCAGGACGACAGACAGCTTTCGGGGCCACCACTCAGCCCACCACACTTGTCATGAGGCTACAGGGGAAAGCCTCACTGGGTTTGGTGCAGGGAGCTTTGAAGAAGCGGGGTTCCAGAACCTCAGTCCTGGGGCTGCCTCAAGAAGACAGTTAGGATGAGGACACTCGGGCACAGGGACCAGATGCTCAGGGCTTGGAGGTGCACTGGTGGGCGTTGGGCTCACCTGCAGGGAGCCTGGAGCCTGACATGACAGCCCAGGGCCAGGGGACAGAGCACATGCGATTGGGAATGGACACATCCCAGCACGGACGAGGGGAGGCAGGCCCGGGGGCTCAGGCCAGGGGAGCCCAGATCTTCCTGCTGCCCTCAAGGGGCAGGTCAGATGGGCACAGGAGGGAGCCGTGGTTTAAGCGACCTGGGTCGGAGCCCCGGTCTGGTGCTGTGCTGTGTCTGACGAGTGACTCAGCCTCTCTGAGCCCACCTTTTGCTCCTCTGCAAATCTTTGCCATACATGACCTGCTTCACAGCTGGGGGGAGTTCCTGGTGCTCTTAGCACCCCTGCCCAACCCCGTGGCTGGGGCCATGCTGCCTCTCCACGACCTTGAGTCCGCTAAGACCTTTCTTTGCCAAGGTCAGACTTTCTTTGCCAAGAAGCTGGAAGCCGCTTCCGCTACCCTAGGAAGCCCTGGGGCACCGAGACCCAAGAGGCAGCAAAGCCTCTAGCCTGGGGGCTCCCGGGCATGGGGCTGACCACATGGGGCGCTGTGACATGTCTGTGGATGGCCCCATACGGCCAACCCCTTCTTTCCCGTTACAGCCCAGGTTTATTTCTGTGCGCTCAGTTGCACGCAAAGACCCAAAATATATTCCTCCGAGTCCGTGGAGATTTGTCTCGACGGTGGTCAAGAAGCAGTGCCCGGGCCGGCATCCCTGGGAAAACACGCTCCGCTGTTTACGTGAGCGACAGGGTCCGTCCCAGAAAAACATCTGGCAGGATCGGGAAAGGGTCGTGGGACTCGTTGGACGAGAACACATATGGGATGTTTTAAACCTTGGTGCCCGGCCTGACAGCAGTCTGCTCCTGGAGGGGAGAAACCGTGAGACGCCGCTCCCCTCCTCCAGGCGGATGCCCCAGAGCAGCGGCTTCTGTCTGGACTGGCCCCTCGGGTGGGAAGTCTGGAGGCCACAGAACCCCGGGGGCCTTGGCGTGGGCGTGGGCAGGGCCAAGGGGCTCAGGGAAGGGATGGGATCAGGGCCCTTGCAATGGACTGCCACGAAATGCTGGACAAAGAAATACAATAAGAAAACAAATGTCACACCTTAAAGTTGCTAAACAGCCAAGAAGGCCCAGAAGAGTGACCGGGACTGTTCCATCGAAGGTGGGGGAGAGGAGGGGGAGGCTCGCTCAGCACATACTGGACAGGGTTAAACCTCCATTCCCTGCTCAACTCACAGGAACAGAGACCTCACCATAGCCACTCCTGGCACTTTCCTTTTAGAAGGAAGAAGGGAATCATAGAACAAGCAAAAACGTCCCCAGGGTGGGGGGCGGGGGTGGATTCCTGCTGGTCAAGGATGCCAAGGGCCCTTCTTCGTCCCCACGGCTGCCTGAGCCTGCCTGTTGTACATCACGGTCACCCGTCTATGCTGAAGGGTGGGCTCCGAGGTTGTTGGAAGGTTGGCCTCAGCGAGGCCGAGCATGGGGTCCCTAGATGCCCCCAGAGGGCTCCGGGGCAGTACACCTCCCCAGCCCACCCCAGAGGGCCCCGTCACTGCCATCGGGGAATTAGGGGGTGCTGAGTATGCAGGCCCAAGGGTGGGGGGGCCTCCACGGCATCCTGTGTGTGCACCCCACCCCAGCTCATGGTCCAGCAGGAGCTGTGGGGAGCGTGTATACACGGCAGGGGTACACAGAACAGCTCCTGGGCACCGCCAGGCCAGGAAGCCCTGGAGCCCCAGTGGGAGGCCTGGGCTGGATGTCTGAGCACCACTGGGGCCTGGTCAACTTGCCCCTCTCTGTGCCCTCGGCTTCCTCAGCTCCATGGATAACACCACCCGGAGGGCCTCTGAGGCCAGGGCTGCTCTGCGGGAGGGGTTGTGCTCTCCTCGAATGTGCTCAAGGCCCCGTGATGCCTGGTCAGTCCCTAATGACCGGGTGCATTCTTGGCAGCCCTGGGGCCTGCCTGCTCTTCCTGTTGGCACTGGGGTCCCGCGTGGGTTGAGCTGGAAGGCTGGCTCCAGGCTGGGTCTGTCTGCTTAGCTGAACCTCGTGCCCCCCAGGAGGGAGAGCATCTGGCATGGGGTGGGCCTCATCCCCTCCTTCTCCTGCTCGGCACCAGGACTGCCCTCCTTCCAGTTCCCGGAGTGGGAAGACAGGGGCCCCTTCTGGGTCACCTGAATGTGTCATCTGACGGGAGCCTGGCTCGATGATATTTGCTGAGTGATCCGGGGGGGCCGGGGGGACAGTCCTGCTGAGCTCCTACTGTGTGCTGGCCAGGGATGCTCCCGCGGTCCATCCCTGACCTCTGGCAGCATCGCTGGCTTCACTTAAATACTCGTGGATGAGGGGGCAGTCTGGGACCACCACTGGGGGCTGACCCTGACTTGCTCACGCCCGTCCTTCACCCAGAAGGCTCCCGGAGGGGACAGGAAAGTGCCCAGTCCCTGGGTAAGGGTCCACAGGGAGGCATTTCTGCCCCGTGGTTCCTGCTGCCCACGTCTGCACTGCCCAGGAGGAGCGGTTGCGGTCACTCGGGCACAGTCACATGGGGCGCTGGCACAAGCATGCCTTCTACACATCCTGGACATGGTACCCTCGACTGTCTCCAGTGAGCCAGGACCCAGAACACAGTCTCTGAGGGAGCTGGGGCTGCAGGACTGGTTGGGGAGGATTTACCCCTCAGCTCTCGGCATAGGGTCTGGCTCCCAAGGCCTGACTTGTTGAAGGAATAAAAGACATGTATTCATTCACAGTCCTGCTTTGATGATGGGTGGGTAGGTTACTCAGATTCACCCTCTCATGGAAAACAATTTAAAAAAAAAGTGTCACGTCTTAAAGTTGCTGAAGACCTGAGAAGACCCAGAAGAGCAACCGCCCAAGATGGGGAGTCTAACAGAAGAACCCTCCTTCCCCATGGAGCTGGACTTCCAGGAGACAACACTTTCAGTTGACCCAGAAAGGGCCTCCCTCCTCCAGTCCCAGGAATTACAAGGAAGGTGGTGTTGCTGCCGAGCAGGAGAAGGAGTGGGTGAGGATCCCAGTGGGTCCAGGCACATCAGCCCGTGACCTTGGCTCAGGGTGGTCCTATCCATAACGCCCTCACATGAGTGGAGAATGCAAGTGCCAAGCCTTTCTGGATAAGGGCACCTTCTTCCTGGGCTTGGGAACTGCCCCACGGGTTCTGTAAGGGTGGTAGTCAGTGGGGAAGAGCGCCAGGCCCACCAGGATGAAAGACAGCTAGAGGAGAACCAGCAGAAGTGACCCCCTCAGCTTTGGGATTCTGAGAGGATTACATGGATAATAAATCCAATAAGTCAGCTAAGCTCACCTCGTTTAGAGAAATAAACCTCAAGATAGAAAGGTCCTGAAAAGGACAGGAAACTATTAAAGAAAATGACACAGCCAACTTGGAAAAGAACCAAACAGAACTTGCAGAAATAAAAAAGTGTCATAACGAGAAGCGAAAATACAACAGACACTTTGGAAGACACTTGACCTCTTCAGGAAAGGGAGACATGGGGGCACAGAGCAGGGGCGTGCTGACAAGGTATGCAACCCCCTGCCCCAACCCCCTGCTCTCCAGGAAGAAAAACCAGTCCTGATCTGTAGCTGCATCATTTGACAGTTTACATGGTGTAAACACTCCCGCCGCGGTCTGATTCATGTACCAAAGGGTTAACACCCAGCTGGCAGGATTCCCGATGAGCCAGAAAGAGCTGGCTCTGGCACACAACCGGCCTAGAGACATGGGAGGACATCAGAACCACAGCCAGAGGGGCACAGATTTCAGCCCAACTGCCTGGAACCCGGGCAGAGCTGTCCTTGGGGAACTTTAAAGACAAGACTCTTAAAACATGTCCAGAATTCACTTTATAACAAGTACGCATCCACAAAACCAAGAGAGGCCCAAAGGAAGTCAGGTGGGGTATATAAAGCCTCAGGACTTAAGACTCAAGAGACATAAAAACTTTATGGCCAAAAAAATTAATATGTAATGGTGGAATTATGAATAGAGATATGGATAGCTTCAGGACTAGACAATGGCCCCCGACACCTCACTGTAAGAGAGGCTCATGGCATAGGCACTAAGCCTAGAGGTAGGAGAGAGATGGGGCTGAAGACCATGTTTTGTTGTTCAGTCACTAAGTCACGTCTGACTCTTTGCAATCCCATGGACTGCAACACACCAGGCTTTCCTTTCCTGTCCTTCAACATCTCCCAGAGCTTGCTCAAGTCAGTGATGCCATCCAACCATCTCATCCTCTGCTGTCCCCTTCTCCTCCTGCCTTCAATCTTTCCCAGCATCAGGTTCTTTTCCAATGAGTCAGTTCCTAGCATCAGTGGCCAAAGTACTTCAGCTTCAGCATCAGTCCTTCCAACGAATATTCAGGGTTGATTTCCTAGAGGATTGACTGGTTGGATGTCCTTGCTGTCCAAGGGACTCTCAAGAGTCTTCTCCATCACCACAGTTCAAAAGCATCAATTCTTTGGCGCTCAGCCCTCTCTATAGTCCAGTTCTCACGGTTCAGGGCAAAGAGTGTGACATGAGGACTCAGCACCCAGGTTCAAGTGCTGGCTCTGCCCCCGTTGGGCCCAGTGGCCTTGATCTCCTTGCCCCACCTCTCAGGGCCTCAGTGCCTTCCCTTGGTAAAGGGACCAGACCCCTGTACCACAAGGCGGGTCAGGGTGCCCCACAGGGTGGGGTGGGGTGGGGGTCTGCGTCCAGGCTGACAAATCCCCGAGAACATCTGGTGCTGCACTGTCCTCACATATGGAGTTGTTGAAATTAGACTTGAGGTGCCTCAAAGTGGAGAACCCCCACCCCAATGTCCAGGCCATGAGACTCCCCCCCTCCCCCAGCCCCACTCCATGCTCATCACTGCGCTTGGCCAAGTCTGGGAATGGTCTCGGACACCAGCTCACGCCCACAAGCCCTCAGCTGGAAACTGCAAGAAACATGCCTCTCCCCCCCCCCCTTCCATGGCAACCCTTCCCACCCCCCTGGGAGGAAGGACGTGCCATCACCTCCATTCTACAGATGGAAAAACTGAGGTCCCGAGTGGGGAAGCCACGTGGAAGTGGCCAGGCTGGGTCTGGACCCGCACACGTGGCCTCAGAGGGGCTGGGCGGGGTCTGAGCCTCCCTGGGAGCTCAGGTACCCTTGCCGCCTGATCGTGCATCCTGGAGTCTGGTGTGGAGGCGGCTCCCGTCCTCCTGCAGGCAGCTCCTCGCTTGCTCTTCAAAAAACAACTTCCACAAAGACGGGAAACAGATGCCGCCGTGGCCCACACCAGCTCCGGGGAGGAACGAGGAGAAACTACAGCCCGCCAGCCCTGGGGTGCGGTGGCGAGCCCTGAACGGCAGCATGAAAGCAAACTGACCCTGTAGAGTTCACGTGTCTGTGGCCTTAGCAATTCTGCCAAAGCCAGAGTCAAGTTCAGCATCAGGGCAGTGCAGGCCTCGGTCACCCCCAGTACTCAGACGGGATTTTCCTGTGTGGCCTTCTCGGCAATGACCACTGCACATAAATAATGCTCTGGCTTTGAGGCTGGACTTGAAAAATGCTGATGGGTTTCAGTTACAAGGAAACACGTTGGCCCACAAGCTGCTCTTGTCCGTTTACTGGGAACCCTGGCCACTGACCCCAGCGCCATCAGAGGGGCAGAGGAGTGGGGGGTGGGCAGAAGAGGCACTCCTGCAGAAGGAAGGCCTGGGCCGCCTCCT